GACTGATGCTCGAACTGGCTACACCCCTGAAAGCGAATCAGATATAACCCTCTTGTTTTTACGTTCTTACGCGTTCTTTGTACAAAGCGCATAAATGTGATACATAATGAGAAATTGTTTTGTCAGTCTCATCTTCGAATCTACTGAACAGGTTTCTGTTAATATGCTATTGGGAATCCACACCAAAAGCAGGCGACATAATTTAGTTTCTTTCCGTATGCGTCGAATACAACATCTCCTTTGCACGATTCAAATTCAACTTGGCCAATTTTCTCAAACGTTTGCCACAGGTTCATAAGAACATACTGTTCATAAAACCTGTCATCGAACTTAATAGTGAATCGCTTTAACCAAAGTGAGATCCGAGGTTCTCACGGCGGCGAGTATGAAGATGATTGTCATCTGTGTTGCTCCACCGTGCAGTCTGGGCGATTGCCCACGGTGCAAAAACCCAGAAGGTAACCTTCTAAGGTTCAATTAGGTTAAGAATCTCACACACCTTTTAACACAATCTTCCCATCTGCGTCAGTCTCACAAGTAGTACGTAATTTAATTTTAAAATCAAAACTTTACAGCAGGCCTTATGTGTATTTCATGTCTCTCCCATGCGTGCTAAATTTTCTGGCTTTCTCGTCCCGACTAATGTAATAGCCCCTACAGTTTCAGGAGGAGAATATCAATTCTGAAGCTCCTCAACCATCAAATTTCTCAGAAGACAACAGCGCGCTGAGCTTCGCTTCATGAGAGTAAATTGCTGTTCGCCTTGATTTATGCAGCCATGTCGACAGCCACAGGTTTGCTTTTTAATCCTTTTGCATTCCTTAACTTCAGTCATCTTTTACTGCTAGTTTGTGCTATGGTTACAAGAAAATAAACGTAATCTGAAAGCAAAGTTATCACGAGCAGGTAAGAATCTTCAGGAAAATACATGGTTATTCTTAGTTATTGTAATTAATTTTGTGAACTCTGACATCAGATCTCAGAAGCATAAGCATGGTCTCAGTCCTACTTATACGCTCTCATGGCCTACTTTATTATAGCTGTAAGGTGCTTGTATTCGTGATTAAATAACGATGCCACTGTTTTGAATCAGAAACACAAAACCACAGTCTCTATTCCTAAAGAATTGACTGGTATACATACTAATACCATGTTAACGTCGCTAAACTTAGCCCCAAAAATTCGCACTGTCTCGATGTTTGAATTTTTTAACATATAAAAATAATTTTGAAGAAACTGCAATTATGTATTTGGTCTACCTACACAGTCTAACAAATACCAGGCAGGCAAGAACGCAGATATGACGCAGTAGCAGTAGAGATGATCAACGTTCTACAAAGAAAGGAAATCATAGCCCGAGTACTTTAACAAAAAAATTCTTGTCTTCTAGTTTGTTTCGCCGTGTAGTCTGGTAGATGTTTACTGACGTTTCAGAGGTCCTTGCTGCCTCCATCATCAGGGCGATTAATAAACCGTGCGAGTGGAAAGCGCCAGAGTTATTGGGGCCGGACAGTTAAGGAGTACTCAAATCCTACTTTCACAAACATTGCGTACATAATTTTCATACTTATATTATCACACAATTTCTTAGAAACCTTCATAAATTATATTTACATCAAAATGATTCGTAAAAACAATGTCTAAACTAGGACAAATTTTATTCCTATAATCTTTAGCAACATGTGTGTTCGAAACAAGGGACCTGGCTTTATATCATGGGCATGTCATCAGTTTGTTGAGACTCACAGAGATAGTTAAACGGTAGGTATACTTTGGAAAATCGGAAATAAGATGCGAGGAACATATAAAAAAGAAACGGAAATGGAATTTAAAAGCAAACGGAATACAGCTTTGGGTGGGAAGACTGTGAATATGGCAGAAAAGGACAGCTTTGAGTGGGAAGACTGTGAATATGGCAGAAAAAGACACGAAGAACTTGGACAGAACCAATGGACTCGAATCTGAGGGAGGACGAAGACTCATCTCACGTTTGGCTCCCACAAAAGGACACGAGATAACAAAAACAATAACAATCAACGCCATGCATCGGTCTTTTTTGGAGAAGCGAACAGTCGCTTTGTTGACCAAGGAAGTCCACGATCTTTATGAAGGTCCATTATCATTTTCACAAGACTCATCCACTGTACACCAAATTCAATCAACAGAATACAGTCCACGCCCCCACAATCTATTACATTACGACAGGTTTCAATACCTCACGCAGATATTAAAAGAATACGGAACTAAAAATTAGGCGTTTCTAGTCAAATGGACAAGACACGATACACAACATAAAAATTTGTAACAAAAATTTCGAATTCGGTTTTGTGGGGGGGGAGAGTAGAGTAACGCTGAAAGAAATACTGATGACAGGATACATGGGTATCGACAAGACGCCACAGGCCAACGCAAAAGGAAAAAGAATTGGTGTGAAGAAGTAATTTACCGGCAATAACAATTGTTTTTTTTATTATTATTAGTGTTCTGTCTGACGACAGGTCCATATGAACAGGATCCTTCCATCCTTTTCTCGGACTGGGGCCTGTTCATATACGTTCTTGGCAGATGATCCAGAAGTGGTTTGCCATTGCCTTCTTCTGTGTGTGAATGGAGTAATTGTTGGGATGCCACGGAGGAAAACTCCGTGTTGCCTAGACCACGGCCTTGCCCAACACAAGTTATAAATTCGGGCACCGCCGGGAATCGAACCCGAGACCCCAGGATTACAAGGCCAGCGTTCTAACCGCTAGACCACCGTGGTGGTAACAATTGTTTTATACATGATGAAAGAAAAACGAGACAGGAAAGTAAAACACAAAAAGAAGAATAAACAGGAATACTGAAAGAAAGGGAAGAATGCAAACGGAATGGAAGAAAAAATTCAAAGAATAAAGTGAAGATGGAAAGAAAGCCACAATGTATCTTTTTATCAGCAATCTGTGAGCATGAAAAGCCGGCCCGTGGGAAGAGACGCTTTGTGGCGGAAGTTGGCTT